TCTCACATCAACTCCTCATCACAAGCACATCCTTATTATTATGCAGAAGGACGCAGATCAACAAACACTTCAAATTCACTGACACAAACACAAAAATACACTCACAAATACACAACATCCTCTCAAACGCCATACCAAACACTACGAGATGCACAAATCACCAAGACAATCGTCTCCGACAACACACTCAACTCAGTCTACTACCTATCGATGAGCATGTCGGCAACCACGTCTCCCTCCAACCCTCACCTCCCCTCCCGCCAATCAACAACCACAATCAAGGCGAACTCCACGACAGACAATCGAGGCACGCATGCATTCCACGCACTCATCGAGCTACCGACAGTTCACAAATACACGTGTATTTCGGAGATCAGTGATTAACGTCAGGATAGTCTTCGGGTGGAATAGTGACAGACAGGATTGTGCATCACTTGGTCATCAACAAGACAGCGTGTTGGCATTGTATGTGAATGTGGAATGATGCTTTTGTGGTGTGCTTTGTGTATTTTGTCTGACGCCAGAATTGAGTGTGGTGTGAGTTTGATCAAAAGCGCTCCCGCGCCGGGAGTCGAACCCGGGCCGCCTGGGTGAGAGCCAGGAATCCTAACCGCTAGACCACGCGGGACGCCAACTTCACGCCACCTACAACAACACAGAATCAACCGCCAAATACTCACCAACTAATTCACACACTTCTTCGACAACCAAACACAATCACCTACCTACACATCTCACAACGCTACTCAGGCACACTTCTTCCCACTCCTCTCCTTTCTTATGTCCTCTTCCTTCTCATGTTCGCGCACCAACAAAATAACAAACAAACTGGTGGACAAACCAATCAACAAACAAACAGACAAACACACACACACACACACACTCTTCTTCGTCCTCATCAAACGTGTCAGCCTCTTATGATTCTCTAATGATTCTTTCACTCCACACCGTGACACCATCATTGATTGTCATCTTCATCGTCATTGTCGACATGGGCGTCGAAGTCAACATTGGCCTTCGACACTGCGTCCATGTGCATATCTGTTGTGTTCGTGGTTGTGTGTGTGTGTGTGTGTGTCTGTCTGTCTGTCTATGTTGTGTTCGGAATGTGTAGTCTGTGTTTCATACACACTGTGATGTGAGTGGTTTTCGTGAGAATTTGTGGTTGAATAATTCACTGTTGAATGATTGTTGGTTTGTGTTTGTGTTATGCGAGTGTGTGACAGTGAATGCTTGAGGAGGTGGGAGAGTCGGGGGTATAGCTCAGTGGTAGAGCATTCGACTGCAGATCGAGAGGTCCCCGGTTCAAACCCGGGTGCCCCCTTCACTTTTCAATTCACACAAACAAACTCCATCCACTCACCACATAGTCGATACGAGATTACCCACAAAAATTAGTGCTGAATAAACACACGTGGACACAGTCCAATCCACTAGCAATTCAACTGACACGTGTATCCCGGTGTCACAACCTCAAACACTTCACGACCAACCAGTCAGTCACTCAACTGGAGACATAGAAGAAGAAACCACAGTCAATTCAATGTACACACACACACACATGCATGCATGCATGCATGCACGCACGCACGCACGCACGAATGCAGCACAGACATCAGATAGACAGGCAGACGGACAGAGGCTAAATTCAAAAATAATTAAACTGGAAAATGAAACAGCCAATGAGAGTGGCGCCAGGTTAGATTGACTTGTCTTGTGGATGATGAGGAAGAGACAGTCAGCTGGTCAATTCAAGTCAGTTGGTTCACATGAGCATACATGAGAGGGTGATGAGGAGGGAGGAAGTGATTACAGAGCGTTATGATACTAGTGACACTATGGGATACCGAGGAGGACGTGTGTAGCGTGTGTATGGCGTGAGTAGCGTGTGGGCCGTGGGTGGAGAGTGAGAGCAGCGAGCGATAGCCAGAAGTGGTTATCTTACATATTGGTAGGAAGTGTTGTGAAAAAGGTGTACACACTTGCCGGAACCCGGGATCGAACCGGGGACATTTAGATCTTCAGTCTAACGCTCTCCCTGCTGAGCTATTCCGGCGGCCGACAGCACCACCTCTCACATCAACTCCTCATCACAAGCACATCCTTATTATTATGCAGAAGGACGCAGATCAACAAACACTTCAAATTCACTGACACAAACACAAAAATACACTCACAAATACACAACATCCTCTCAAACGCCATACCAAACACTACGAGATGCACAAATCACCAAGACAATCGTCTCCGACAACACACTCAACTCAGTCTACTACCTATCGATGAGCATGTCGGCAACCACGTCTCCCTCCAACCCTCACCTCCCCTCCCGCCAATCAACAACCACAATCAAGGCGAACTCCACGACAGACAATCGAGGCACGCATGCATTCCACGCACTCATCGAGCTACCGACAGTTCACAAATATACGTGTATTTCGGAGATCAGTGATTAACGTCAGGATAGTCTTCGGGTGGAATAGTGACAGACAGGATTGTGCATCACTTGGTCATCAACAAGACAGCGTGTTGGCATTGTATGTGAATGTGGAATGATGCTTTTGTGGTGTGCTTTGTGTATTTTGTCTGACGCCAGAATTGAGTGTGGTGTGAGTTTGATCAAAAGCGCTCCCGCGCCGGGAGTCGAACCCGGGCCGCCTGGGTGAGAGCCAGGAATCCTAACCGCTAGACCACGCGGGACGCCAACTTCACGCCACCTACAACAACACAGAATCAACCGCCAAATACTCACCAACTAATTCACACACTTCTTCGACAACCAAACACAATCACCTACCTACACATCTCACAACGCTACTCAGGCACACTTCTTCCCACTCCTCTCCTTTCTTATGTTCTCTTCCTTCTCATGTTCGCGCACCAACAAAATAACAAACAAACTGGTGGACAAACCAATCAACAAACAAACAGACAAACACACACACACACACACACTCTTCTTCGTCCTCATCAAACGTGTCAGCCTCTTATGATTCTCTAATGATTCTTTCACTCCACACCGTGACACCATCATTGATTGTCATCTTCATCGTCATTGTCGACATGGGCGTCGAAATCAACATTGGCCTTCGACACTGCGTCCATGTGCATATCTGTTGTGTTCGTGGTTGTGTGTGTGTGTGTGTGTGTCTGTCTGTCTGTCTGTCTATGTTGTGTTCGGAATGTGTAGTCTGTGTTTCATACACACTGTGATGTGAGTGGTTTTCGTGAGAATTTGTGGTTGAATAATTCACTGTTGAATGATTGTTGGTTTGTGTTTGTGTTATGCGAGTGTGTGACAGTGAATGCTTGAGGAGGTGGGAGAGTCGGGGGTATAGCTCAGTGGTAGAGCATTCGACTGCAGATCGAGAGGTCCCCGGTTCAAACCCGGGTGCCCCCTTCACTTTTCAATTCACACAAACAAACTCCATCCACTCACCACATAGTCGATACGAGATTACCCACAAAAATTAGTGCTGAATAAACACACGTGGACACAGTCCAATCCACTAGCAATTCAACTGACACGTGTATCCCGGTGTCACAACCTCAAACACTTCACGACCAACCATTGTGTCACAGAATTTTTTTCATGGAATATGCCAGAATGTATTGATTTTTGGTTTGGTACCTGCTTTCTTTTAATTTTTTTGGTCTAGCGTTTATTTTTATGATATCAGCTGTTCGTTTGGTTATCGTCTCATTTTTTTTGCGTTTGACTCTTATTTCTATATATATGTCCTCGTTATTTTTGTCAATTTCACATGCATTTGTGTTGTTTATGTACTACACACTGGCATCTAATAAATTGCATTTGTCACGTTTTTTATCGTTTTCCTTGTGTACACTGTGTTATATCATTTTCTGTACATTAGTTCTGATATATAACAACTTTTTCTTGATTTTTTTTGTATCAGCTATTTATTTTCAGGCTACCAATATGGAAATATATTTATACATATATATCGGTCTGTTATTTCTCTCATAAATCTATGGTGGAATATTTAAACCGCATATCTCATAATATCATCCTCTCTTCCTGCAAAGAATGTGTTTCGCATCATATCTTCCCATCTATGCATGTCTTGACGTAATTTGATTAGTAATGACTTACAGTGGAATCCAGGATGCTCCATGTTTCGTATTATTTGAGACTCGTCAGACGGGCGTACCTGCATTCTCCACTGAGTGATGGTGTTCCCACTAAAACTGGGACGTATTACCTATCGTTTGTTACTCAAAACGCGCCCCATTAGGACGAAATATGCTCCTGGATGCTACTGCTAGTCGTCATCCACCAAAACTTGCTTAGGGTTCATCTGAAGACATTTTTGAAGAGTCCGTACTTGGAGCCGACATGTCAACATTGGCCGAACATTTCAGTCAAACCGATCAATGGGAAAATCAAAATTGAATTAAATACAAAATCACTATAGGACTCTTCAGATATTTTTTTAGGCTAGAGAAAGTAGAAATTTATGAACAACCCTAATACTTTCACTCACTCTTAACAAACAATAACGTGAAACATATTTTTCAACTGATAAAAATTTAAATGAAATTAAAAGAAATGAATTTCAGTGTTTCGATTTTCTGATATTTGAAAAAACGAAGTTGAATTGTTAAACAGGAAGTAGATCGTTTAATTTTTATTCATTGTAAAGTTTCTCCCATTTTTGTTCACTAATATGCTCTGTCTTTTACTTAACTATTCTTTCAACAACAACAACAACAACAACAGCACCTACAACAAACTACGACAACCTTTTCATTTTGTATCCCAAAGCATAATACTTTATCATCACCACTTATTTCTGTCTATTATCTGTGATATGGAGTAGATCGTGTGGGAGGAGATGAGAGATTATGGGCAATTGTGGGGCTAACTGAAGAGGACAGTAGAGAATAGAACATAGTGGGGGGATGTGCTGTTGAAGCCTTATGTTCCGCTCTGGACTCAAGGGAATAATAATATAAAAATAATAATTTACTGAACTTACAGCAACCAGGGAATCATCTAGTTCAACTTGTGACAGAACTGTTCTGTTGCGTGCTACTGAACGTGCCAGCTTTGCAAATTTACTAAAACCTATGAGTAATAGTAATAAAATCCAATTAGACTTATTTCAAACTTGTATTTTTGCAGATAAAAAATGGATTACAGTTAGTGAAATATTAAAATTAAAAGATGAATGAATTTAGATTAATTGTAAAATAATTTAACTGGTGGATGTTGACTAGCAGTGGAATCCAGGATAACGCGCATTTCGTCCTATTTGGGACTCGTCATCTGGATTTACCTGCATTCCCCAGTGAGTAATAATTTTCAGACCGAGGCTCGAACCCACTGCCCATAGTTTCGAACGCCAAAGTGTCATCCACTAGACCACTTAGGCCACAAGAGCCACCTCTTGTGCAATTGGTCATATTAATTATTTAATTGAATTTTAGATTTTCCTGTCGATTGATTAGACCTTAGTGCTCGGTCTCAGGTTGACATGCCGGCATCTTATGGTCTAGTGGATAACGATTTAGTGTATGAAACTGTGGGCACTGGGTTAGAGCCTCGGTCTGAAAATTATCACTCACTGGGGAATGCAGGCAAATCCAGATGACGAGTCCCAAATGGGACGAAATGCGCGTTATCCTGGATTCCACTGCTAGTCAACATCCACCAGTTAAATTCTAACTACATTTCCTGATATCGTCGAAGCATCTGTACAAGAAGCCTACATGTCAATCTGAGGCCGAGCACTTCGGTCCAATCAGTCGACGGAAAAATCTAAAATTCAGTTGAATAATTGTAAAATAATTATGTTAAAAAAGCCTGCGAAACCATTTTCTACAAGTCTGGATGACTATGCAGCAGAGTGTGGCTAGCGAGAAGACAAGAATACGTTAGACCGACAAGGAGACTCTAGAAGATATAGATTTCGAGGATGAATTATTTTTAATGTCACACGAATTCAAAGACCTACAGGTGAAAACCAACAATTTGGCATAAATAGGCAGCAAAGGTGGGAATTCAAGTATAGGGGGGGACGGAGGTGATGGCACTAACCAGCCAACAACAACAACAAGCATCAGTTACCATCAATGGAATGAATTTGAACGAGGTCATTCCCTTCACTTATCTAGGCTGCATCGTTTCAAACACAGGCGATAGTATGGATGAGAATGTCAAAACCAGAATCGGAAAGGCAAGGTACACCTTCATCACTCTGAAATCAGTTCAGAATTCCCCTGCACTGACTCGACATAAAGACCAAGATTCGGATCTTCAACATCGGTGTTAAGTCACTACTTCTATATGGGTCAGAAACTTGGTGCATCATGGAAAGGGTTTCTCAGCTGGTTCGATAATAAAGATCAAGTGGCCAACCGGAATGAAATAACAACAAGAAACTCTTAGGATGAATCAATCAAGAGTCCACCGCTCAGCAAATATGCCGAAGAAAATAGAGATGGATAGGACACACATTGCGGAGACCGTTGTGTGACATCACTCGCCAAATGCTAGAGTAGAATCCGAAAGGGCAACGAAGAGTTGAGCACATATCCAAGGGTGACATCGAGGAGATCGCATAGGGAGGAGATGAAAGCTTATGAAGTAACCACTGCTCCAGTTGATGAGGGCTGCAGAGAACAGGACGAAATGGAGACTTACTGCTGAAGCCGTATATTTCACTCGGAACCGAAGGGAATAATAACAATAATTCTTCCAAAAACGCGGTTTCTGTTGTAAGACATTCAGCCAACATTCAAGGTCGTATTCACTGGCAAATGCATTGTAATCTGAAGAACTTTATCACAGATGTAAGGTGAGGTTTATAGTAAGAAGTACTACTTCACTTGGATTTCACGTTAGCTAGTAATCTTTAGAAACGTGTGTCTGTAATTGGGAAGAGATTTGTATTCCTCTTAAGATTTAAGTGTGTTTTATTTATTGCCAGGCAGGTAATGACTGGTCTCTTGTAGGACTGGATAGTATGATCGCAGTGACTATATAGTTGTAAATAATGGTGAAAATCTATAGGACGCTTCAGTTTATCCGCAGAACCGGCCAATCAACCAAAGACAGTACAAATTCGGTGACATTTAGGGCTTTCTTAACCCTGTAATTATCAGTTTTCTTTGTCATACGAAAATATATACAATGTAACACGCTAGAAACATTTGTTTTATTCGGCATACAATTACACAGTAATATGTAAAACGTTTTGTGCAGTTAAAAGGAATCCGCGGAATAACAAAATTGAGCTCATGTTTTTCTGTTGTTCCGGCTTTGTTCAAATTTTCCGACGAAGGAAATAACATGAGGTTCACAATTTATTACCCATAATCTTATGAAAATAATTGTACGACTTTAAAAATTGATTTCCATTATTTCTTGACACCTTATTTCTTTATTCCGGTAGTTAACGAGATTATTCAGATGTGTGAGATGGGTTGTTGAACTCCTAATTTTACACCGATTTAGTGTTGGCTCCGCAAACATTTGTTGTGTTCAGGCATTCTGACTGACCCTGAACCATTACTGTGATCTCTGTTTTTGATCTCATAATCATAGTATAACACTAAGTTAAAGTAATTTAGCTATTTGGTACTGTTGTGGTGAGAGCAGGCTGCTAGCCAATTGGTAGACATTATTCTACGTCAATGTCAAGGACACTAATATTGGCCGTGAGAAAATATGAACAAGGCTGATTCAACAACCAATCACAGCAAACTTAACGTGGGTAAATATGATTCGCAGATAGATGGCTCCACTTTTCGATGGTTACCCGAAACAATCAATCACAAGCCTGCGTTTGTCTGCTTAACTCCCGGCAAACAACCAGTAAGAAGACTGCGTTTGTCTACTTGAATAAGCTATTATAATGTATGTGAAATATATATAAATACGTGTTGATTTCCGTAATAAAACGATCTGTAGCCGGCCCTTGTCTTCTGTTGTTACACTGTGGCATCTTTAGCTATGAACGTCATTCAGCTTATAACCTGAATGTTTCGGGTTCGGTCTCTAATGTATTATAGGTGTACACTACTCAAGAGTCCCAAACTAGGGTGAAACAAAAGTTCAGTGTTCCTTGATTATCAGTAATTCTTTGTTTTTTGTATTCCATTACGTTCCCAGTGGAACATAGGGCTTCAAGTTTCGGTAGCAGTGGTGATTATTTCTACGGGATGGGGTTGTTAGCCTCATGCCCAAACTTCCCTCTTTACCGGTCTTATTACTGGCTTAACGAGGTAAGGGAGTGAGTCGGCGGGGGGATCGAATCCCAGACCATCTGCATGGTTGGCGAGCACTCCACCGCTGTGTCACCGACCATCGAAAACATGGTCCTACCAAAGATCAAACCAAAAATTTGGATACGTTACGTAGATGACACATTTGTAATGATCAAAAGAAACGAGTTGGAAAAATTCCCAACTTAATAATAATAATTATTATTATTGTATCCTTTAGTTCCTAGAGGAACATAGGGCTTCAGCTGCGCACCTCCATTGACTTCGGTTTTCTGACAACTTTTTCAACCTGCTCCAGGTCTGTCCACATGCTTTCATCTCCTCCTCGCATGACCTCCTCCAAGTCACCCTTGGACGACCAACTCGCCGCCTCCCTTTCGGGTTCCACTCGAGGGCTTGTCTAGTGATGTCACTTGATGGTTTCCTCAGCGTATGGCCAATCCATCTCCATTTCTTTCTGCCTATTTGTTTCACAATCGGTTCCTGATTGGTTCGCTCCCAGAGATCCCTGTTGCTGATCTTTTCTGGCCATCTGATCTTGAGTATTGAGCGGAGACAGTTGTTAATGAAGGTTTGAAGTTTGTTTGAGATGCTCTTTATGACTCGCCAAGTCTCTGATCCGTATAGTAGCACTGACTTCACATTGGAGTTGAAAATCCGGATCTTATTTTTGATGCTGATTGCTGTTGACCTCCACACAGATTTGAGAGTAATGAAAGCTTGTCTTGCTTTTCCGATTCTGGCTTTGATGTCCTCGTCAGTTCCGCCTGTAGTTGAGACGATGCTTCCCAGGTAGGTGAAGGAGGTTGTTTCTTTCAGGTTCTTCCCATTTATGCTTATTGTGGTCTGTTGGTGTTGTTGATGTTGGCTAGGAATCTTCATTATCTCTGTTTTATCTATGTTCACGTGAAGTCCTATCTTTGATGCTTCTTCTGCCAACTTGTTACTTTTCACTTGCATATCTTCCAGTTTATGGGAAATCAGACATATATCATCGGCGAAATCCAGATCCTCCAAGTCTTTTGTGTCAGTCCATTTTATGCCTGTTCCCTCGTTGGTTGCCGTTGTCTGTCGCATTATCCAATCAATTGCAATCAGGAAGATCATTGGTGATAGTAGACAGCCTTGCCTCACTCCCGTCCTCACTTCGAAGGCTTCCGTAAGTTTCCCGTTGTGGATTACTTGGCATGCAGCATTGTCGTATAACTGTTGGATGAGGTGTATAATTGTCGATGGGACCCCGTAGTAGCGAAGTAGTTTCCAAATGACCTCTCGATCGACGCTGTCGAAGGCCTTTTCAAAGTCGATGAAGTTGAGATAGAGAGGTGACTGCCATTCCAAGCTTTGTTCAATGATGATCCGTAGAGTGGCGATTTGATCAATACATGATTTGTTTCTCCTGAATCCAGCCTGTTCCGGACGAAGTTTTTCATCTAGGGCTTGTTTGATTCTCTCCAGGATGATGCGACTTAGTATCTTGCTTGGAATGGACAGAAGCATAATTCCACGCCAGTTTTTACATTGACTTAAGTCTCCTTTCTTTGGAAGTTTGAATAAGTAACTGTTCTTCCAATCCTCGGGTACTTTGCCCTCTTTCCACACCTTCTCCAGTAGTGGTGTCATCAAGTCCGCTGTTGTCTCTGGGTCTATTTTCAAAGCCTCTGCTGGGATTCCATCTGGTCCCGGTGTTTTCCCAGTTTTAAGCATCTTGATTGCATTCAGGACTTCTGATTTCGTCGGGGGGTCAGTGTTCACTGGTAGTTCTGCTTCCGTTGTTGGTATTGCTGGACGTGTTGTAGGTGGCGGACGATTTAGAAGTCTTTTGAAGTGTTCAACCCAACTTAATAAACAACATCAAATTCACAAGAGAAGAGGGATCCGAGGACAAAATCCTACTTTTTAACGTCTTAGTCAAGCGAAAAACTATAGGAAAATTAGAAACCCAATTTTATAGAAAATCAACTCACACATATCAAATACTCAATTACAACAGCAACAAGCCAATAACACACGAAAGGAGTTGTATAGAAACACTATTCAAGAGAGCCAGGACTCATTGCAGCACTCCTAACCTAAGGAAAATATCTCATGAACGTCTTCCGAAAGAGTGGACATCCATGGAACTTCATCAAAAGACATATACTCCAAAACCAACATACCAGATCAAAGGCCCCCGAGGAAAACACAAAGAAAATCGTCCTACCATACATAAAAGACATCTCAGAAATCACTGCAAGACTCTTCGCACCTTTAGGAATTGATGTCTCACACAAACCAACAAAATCACTTAACTCAGTCCTTTGTCAAGTAAAAGACTCAACAACGAGAGAAGATAAAACCAACATCATCTGCAAAATAAATTGCAAAGACTGCAAAAGACACTACAGTGGTCAAAGTGGACGTCCTCTTCCTCTTTGTATCCATGATCATAAAGTAGTCGTCAAAAGACACGACACGCACTCCCTCATATAGCTGCAGACAGACAACCACGGATGTCAATTCGACTGGGACAACGTTCAAATATTAAACAGAGGAAGCATCAAGAATGATAGAAGATTTTTAGAAGCCTGGTATTTCAGTGAATCGTCAATTAATAGGCACACTGACATAGATGAAACTGACCAGTCTTATAGAAGAAAATCTCACACACATACGGTCAAAGTTCAGGTCAAGGAAACAAGTGGCCTATGGGGCGTGAAAACACACAAAAACAATCAATCACGTCCAAGGTCACCAGGAGAGATGACTTATAAACTCTTGAAGAAATCTAAAAGCTCACTTCAATGAATTGAAGTATGCACTGAGGATTTTGCATAGTAGGGCAATGAAAGCTTCGCGAATAAACCCTCCATCTCAGAGAACACAACTACATCAAAATCATCCACCTGAGCTACAAATCTTCATTATGCCTTGTGTCCAGATAACTTAATTTCTAAATTTTCAACTTTTTTTTCCACCATATCAATTAGATTTGTTCGGACAGTTCTTCTTATTATACAAAGAGAAGTGATAATATCAACAATGAGGACAGAAAATTTTTTTCAATCCTTCTTTGTATACAATGTTGACTTAATGGGAAAGCTCATTATTATGCAGAAGTATTTGGTATAAATATTCGATGTTAAGGTTTCTTTATATCTGAAATAAATCATTTCCTAATTCTAAAGTTATGTCGGAAACTGATCTGTTTAGAGATAATTTATAATAACAGCTGCGTATGCTGAAAGGTAACAGGTTCTCACATTCTCTTTGTTTGTCATTTTTAGAGTACAACTGAAATTAGTCATGTTCACTCTGCACTGAAAGTCAGGCAACCAGGAGCGATTAGGATCAAGGAACTCTGGTAGAGAACCAACTAAGAACCCATCACCCACCAAATATACCGAAGAGAATGGACGGGGATAGGACACATGGTGACGATATCACTGAGTGACATCACATGTTATGCAAGCCCTCTGGCGGAAGCCGAATGGAAAATGACAAATTGGACGTGTGTTAGAAAGCGACATAACGGAGGTCGTGTGAGCGGGAGATGAGAGCATATGGCCTATGAAAGAGCTAGTTAAAAAGGTTAACAGAGAACAGGATGAAACAGAGATATCGTAACCATCATATTACCATCGAGAAAGAAAGAGACTCTGGTATTTCATTCCCAGATGTCTTTATGACTAGAAAAGAGGATGGTAAAATAAGAAGAGGTGTATGCAGAAAACCAACAGTGGCCAGTCAGTATACTTATTTTTTAGCTTCGTGCCTCTCAAGTACAAATGCAATCTAGTAAAGTGCTTGAATCCCACAGCAAGAGCAATCTGCTGTGATGAATGTCTTAATGAAGAGCTTAATATCACTAAACAGTTGCTGAATGAAAACGATTTCCCAGAAAAATTTGTCAATAAGAATTTGAATCAAAAGTCAAGGTACACCAAAGTACCAACAGTTTGGAAAAAGGCCTTATTCTTACAACTTCATTTTTTCGGGGATAACTTCAGTGAGATGAAAAGAGCATTCATTGCTGCTGAATTGTTCTGTGTCTTCAGTACCACCCCTATTTCGAATTCAGGAGTTAAAGATAAACTGCCTAATTTCACCTCTTTCATGTGTATCTACCAATTCGAGTGCTCCTTTGAAGTCAGTTACATAAGTCATACAATTAGGCATGTCTCTCGTCGGATTTCCGAACACCACTCTGCATGGCTGAGTAAAGGACGCTGCGCTCTTCTATCTCATCTTGTCGATACAGAACACAAGACTGATATCAACGAGGCTTTCAAAGTCATTTGCCGCATACCAACAAATCTTAACTTCACCTTAGGCGTTCGTCTACTACATATTGCTTAGGCTGTTGGGATCCACATTAAGAAACCTAACTTATGTGTCCGAAAGAAGCTGGTTCAGGCAATGGTCTTACACCTTGGCCATCAAGGTTCGAATGATCCTCAATTTTTTGTGGAAATTTCCTTAAATTTTATTTGATATTCTATTTGCTATTACATTTTTATTCTGATTATAACTTTTGCATCTTTAGTGAACTGTAATTCCACTGATCTTACTTAGAAAATCGATATTATTTAAAAACACCAATACTGTTAATGGCGACTATTCTAGAATATTCTATGTATATAAACATATACATAATTGTAGAGCCAGAAGAGGACATTATCGAAAAGGATATTCTTTGCTCAATATTTTTCTTTTTTCTAAGTGAAGATATGGTGTTTTTCCATTCGGAACCCGAAGAAACAGTGATGACAACATAAACTAGATTTTTTTCTCATCTAAACCACTGGTAAAGTTAAGTTATACATGACTTTCCCTCTCTTTACTACCTCATAAATGTTTCTAAGACGTTTAACGATATTATCATTTAGATGTAAGTACAATAAAAATTAAAACGCAAAGAATTATTGTATTCATAGAATGCTTACTTCCACTGAGTGCTTCATCATCCAGCGGTTGTCTAAGCGGTGAAATATCATAAAATAAAATCAAATAAAGTGGTGTTTCGTGCTTATCATTTTCAACTGGTGCAACACACATAATCACCCAAATCATTGAACCTAGATGGAAAGAAATAAAGGAGTAATAAATACACTTTTATTGAGCATAAAAATAAACTTTTTGAAGAAATAAAAGTATGACTTGCTTTTTCACTTCCTAATCTCAGAAAGAAGTCACTGGGTTTTTGTTGTGCTATGCCGACGCTGACATTTATCTCATCGCCATTTCAGTTAAACAAATTATCAATGGATGAAAAAAATTCAAAATTCCCTCATTATTTTAACGCATAATTTTGCGGCTAGTTTAAGTTTTTCTAAGATGTATGCTTTTTTTTAAATTTCAGATTAATGCATAATTTTCAAATTAATAAATTTAAGAATTTGATAGTGGTTACTGAAAATTTGTAATCATTTGTATCGTTAAAATAAGGAAGAATAAATTTTAGTTTTAACATGAAATCTAGTTACTTCTTAATCTTTCAGATATTTTCAGAGTTTTAATACTTTTATAAAACAAAAATTTACTTTAGATTATGAGCTTTTGTAGGGATTCGAACTAATTTCAAAGTAGATTCCACCACAAAGCGAAACCAGTTAAGGATCATTGAAAACCACAGAGCACTGAACAACCCTTTCGTCCTGGTTAGAGACTCTGCATCAGTGAGCACGCATGATCCCACCAACAATCGAACTCATTTAACGAGGTCAACTTAACTGACTATTCGACCACTTTGGAAGGATTTCAACCACCCGTAAATTCTAACTTCTATTATTAATATTATTTCCTTTAGTTCCTAGAGGAAAATAGGGCTTCAGCCGCACGTCTCCTTTGCGTTCGGTTCTCTGCCAACGTTCTCACCTGGCTCCAGGTTTGCCTACTTGCTTTCATCTCCTCTTCGCATCACCTCCCCCATGTCACCTTCGCACTGACAACCAACTCCCATTCGGGTTCCACTCGAGAGATAGCCTGGCGTGTGATTTCACTTGATGGTTTATTTTCTCAGAATATGGTAAGTTCGCCTCTATTTCTTCCCGCATATTTCTTGCACAATTAGTTCCTACTGGGTTGGTTCGTTCATTGCCAGATATCCCTGTGGCTGATCTTATCTGGCCATCGGATCTTGGGCACTATTGGCCTAAGACTGCTTTTGATCAAGGTCTGTAGTTTGTTAAAGGTGCTCTTCGTGACGTGCCAAGTCTCTGATCCATAAAGTAGCAATGACTTCACACTGGAGTTGAAAATCCGTATCTTATTTTTCATGCTTAGCTCTGCTGACCTCAAAAAAACTTGAGAGAAATGAAAGCTTGGCTTGCTTTCCTGATCCTCACTGGGATATTCTCATCAGTTCTGCCCGCCTGTAGTTGAAACGATGCTTCCAAGGTAGGTAAAGGAGGTTGTTTCTTTCAGGTTCCTCCCATTTACTCTGATTGTTGTCCGTTGTTGTTGTTGGTGCTTCCCAGGAATCTTCATCACCTCTGTTTTCTCTGTGTTCACCTGAAGGAAGTCCTATCTTTGATGCTTCTTCTATGAACTAGTTGCTTTTCACTTGAATATCTTCCAGTTTGTGGAAATCAGACATATGTCATCGGCGAAGTCCAGATGCTCCAATTTTTTTGTGTGAGTCCATTTTATACCTGTTTCCTCATCGCTCCTTGTCTGTCTCACTATTCATTCTACCGCAATCAGGAAAATCATTGGAGATAGTAGGCAGCCAGCTTGTCTTACTCCTATGTTCACCTCAGAGGGTTCTGTGAGTTTCCCAATGTGGATTGCTTGGCATGGAGCATTATCGTACAACTGTTGGATAAGGCGTAAAATTGTATCCATCCCTAATGGATAACACATAGTTTCCTCACCCAAAGGTTCTAGTTTCATGAGTGGGTAGTGCTGATGAGTTCCAAAACTAGAACGAAACATCTTTCCAATACTCCTTGATTTTCAGTGGTTTTATAACTGAAGTCAGCTCGTGGTTTCAGATTATCGAAGGTCGGTCTTGCTTTTCTCATTCTGCCTTTGAAATCTTCATCCGTTCCGCTTGCAGTAGAGACGACACTCATAAGTTCAGGTAAATGAATGAGGTAGCTTACTTTTCATTCCTGATATTGATGTTGATGAGTGTATGTTAATGTTAGATAGGTATCTTCATCACCTCTGTCTCCTCTACTTTCACGCATATTCCTATCTTCACCGCCTCTTCTGTCAGCTCTTTGCTTTTCAACTGTAGATACCAGAGTTTGTATGACATTATACATAAATCATCCTTAAAGGTCAGATATTCTAGGATCTTTTTGTAGAAGAAGCTATTTCAAAACTTTATATTACACATTACAAAGTTTCGTTCAGTATATAGTGCTTCAAGAGGAAATACACCTCTGTGAGAAAAATGAGTGTTGCAATAATATTCACTTTTTACGAAACAGTAGTATGCTCTTTATAAGACCTGTAGAAGTCGTATCTATGCAGTATTGAACATTCGCAAAGAAGGAGAGTCAGTAACTATTCACTGCTCCTCAGGTTGTAATGCCTCTACTTGTTTATTTTTTGTTTCGTGACAAAATTCACTTAAAAAAAAGAATCTTCAGAACACTGTAGAATCAAGAAGGGAAAAAAAGATGAATATATCACAGGTAGGTATAAACGCAAAACATTTTACAATGTCATAAAATAATTAGATACTTTGTTTACTTTCTATCTAATTGTTTTTTTTTTTTGATAGTTAGGAGTGTTTTACTAATCTTAAGATGGAGAAGTGTTGAATACTAATCAACTTTAAATAGTTTTATTTGAGTCTTATCACTTTGAAATTTCACCTGATCTACTTGAAAGTCTATGGGTGTGTAAACAAGTAGTTTACTTAAAGCTTCAAGAGGTAAACAAATTTCTAACAGTTTACACTATTGAAATTTCAAAACAAACTTTTAAAAAAAACTGAAAATATAAAAGAAATAAACATTTTTGATAAACATCTTAAATACAAAAGTGTTTTTGTGATAAGAAAGGAATGGAGAGGAAAAGAAATGATAGTCGTTACCCTTTAACTTTGTTTATTTCAGTTGTTTACTTTTGGAGGGTAATTCAATTGAAAATAATTTTGAACAATAAATGATGATAAATGTTGTTATAAATAAAAAAGCCTTAATCTAATGTAATACATATTTATGGAGAAAGTTAATTCCCTCACAACTATCCACGCATACAAGTGTTTATAGGAAGAGGTAAACGTGTAGACATAAATATATACTCATTTTTTAGCTTTATTTATTTTTTTTCGTTTACCAGGCTTATTACCAGCTAAGCAAGCTTCTGGAGTCAGACAGCTGAGAAATGAACTCTGGACCACATGTGTGGTTGGCAGAGATTTCAACAATGAACCACCAATACATCCAGGTATGCATTTAAAAGTCAACAACTTTGTCATCGCTATATATATATCAATATACATACATACATATGTATATGAAAATCATATTTTAACTAATCGATATAATAGTTAGAGGGAGCTGAGAAGTCGAAGCAATAGCATTTCAGTGTTTAACAAACAGGGATACGAATAAATGGGAAATGAGAGCTGAGGAAATAAAGGTCAAAGTGTGGCGTGTACTACTGATAAGTCAGTAGTATATACGGAGACACTCATTTTATGTATATTATTTAAAAAAAACTTATTATCCAACTGGTGGATGGTGGCTAGCAGTGGAATCCAGGATGCGCATTTCGTCCTATTTGGGACTCGACTTGAACCCAGTTCCCAGAGCCTCGGTGGGAACATCATCACTCACTGAGAAATGCAGGTACATCCAGCTGACGAGTCCCAAATAGGACGAAATGCGCGTTATCCTGGATTCCACTGCTAGTCAACATCCACCAGTTGTATACAAATCAAATCCCCAGACATCGTCGAAGCATCTGCACAAGAAGCCGACATGTCAACCTGAGACCGAGCACTTCGGTCCAATCAATCGATGGGAAAATCAAAAATTCAATTCAATAAAACTTATTATCGCTTGATTCCATACAGTATTTTTGGTACAAGTATGAAATTTTCAGCATGTGATATCTGTAGCCCAAATTTAGCAGGCCGTCCATTAGTATCAAGTGTGCGTCGGCCGGCGATAGAACCCCGGACCATGTGCATGGTCGGCGAGAGTCCTAGCCGCTGTGCCACCGACGCACAAAATGAAGGAACTAATGTCGCTTCTGAGATTTGAACCCGCGTCACTCAGTGTCGCCTGCAGTCACAGACGTTATCATTTAGCTATTCGGTATATAAACATCAAGTAGCAGGGTAGTAGATATGACATCAAAGAGAGCAAATGATTCAGCGTTGCAGAGAAACATGGGAGACTTGAAAAGGAAGACAGATAGACGCAATATGAAGGCGAGAAGTAGCCCAACGCAGATGTTAGCAAATGGTGATTTGAAGATAAGGTGTACATATTTTAGCTATATTGAGATACCAAATTGCAAATAAACATTCGTTTATCAAGTCTTTCATCTTTTACCGTTAAAACAGTAGAGCAGAAAATATGTTTTCTTAAAATGTTTATCTACTGGTTTTACTTCAAAGTGATTAAAAGTTCTTGACTTTATTTTTCAAGGAAATTTCCTTTATGTAAGTGAGAATTCTACATTAAATGATACGACCTACAGATAAAAAGGGTTTAAATCATCTTAGGACTTTTTGCATAGATTTACCACTCACAAATATTTGTGAGAAAACTTTACAAATATAAGGATTTCTTCAGATCGAATATTGGGGACTTATAACTAAATAAAAGGTGTCTTGGTAATAGGGTAACAAATATTCTAAAGGTATACAATAACTAATTCACAGTAATTAATTCTACTCTACTCTGAAAGCAGAAAAAGACCAAAGTTTCCACCTTGTAAAGAGGATTCAGCCGGAAAGAGTGACTGAACTTTGGGGGACATCTTGATGAGACAGCTGTTTATCTAATTTTTCCAAATTATTATTCCCTTCGGTTCTAAGTGGAATACAGGACTTCAACAGCACATCTCCGTTTCATCCTCTTTTCTGCAGTGCTCTCCAGCTGACTCC